GGGTGGGAAACAGGAGAACGGAATAGAAGGGATGATAACATTTGTATCATATTTAACGCTAGAACGAGCGGGTTAAGGGGTGGAAGACAACCTCCACCCGCCGGCCACCTTCTTCCTCGTCGTCTCCTTCGGTCTTCTCTCCCGCTCTCTTGGTCACCCTCCGCCCCTCGGTCTCCCTCATAACCGCGCTCCTCCGCCGCCACCCCAGAACGCTACCTCGCACCCCCTTTCCCGCCCCCTCCCCCCGCGCTCTCGCCACTCCGAGTAATATACCACTGAAATCAATACCACCACACTGCCTTCTCTATTTACCCAAGCTCATCATCCGTACACAAATTTATTGCGTGTCCCTAGCAGCTCGAAACATCCCTTCCGAGCTGCCAAGGATATCTGGCGCGGCCAGATTGCGATTTCGTAGTGGCCGGCCCCGGTTAATGTCACGCGGCCCATTTAACGCGTTTCTTCTCGGAAATCCGCCGGGCTATCTTTGTCAAAAAGTACTTTCCGATTATCTCGTTCGGACGTCCGCTCTCATTGTCTCTCCTATCGGTCCTTGGCGGGTGATCGAATCGAGCGCGGCTCGTTCTTCGGCGCGAGGTTCTCTTGTGCGCCAAATAAAATCGGAGACACGACTGAACGCCTTGGGTACAGTCCTCAAATATTTAGTGATTACGTCGATGGTCTAAAACGTCCATTTGTCTTGTTTCTCTTTCACCGAGATGTAGGTACACGCCGCGAAGGAATCTCCAAATACAGATGCGGAGATTAGCTCGAGCGAAGAGGAACGATACCGTGAATCGCGCCGAGCCCCATATTAATTGACGATTTCAATTCTCCTCTCGAGTCGCGCGGACAATTTTCCCCCCGCGCGACAGTTGAATATAATTTATGCATGCGCTGGGACTGTCGGATAAGATCACGTTAGGCGGCGACCGGTGGCGGTGGTTGGCGGTAGAAATTTTTTAAATACCCGCCAGAGGTGAATTACTTAAAACGTTCGCGACGCGCACAGGTGGTTCCGTGCGTCCGTACGCGACGCACCCGCACAATCTCGCGCGCCCCGTCGCACATGGGTGTACGCACGGGGTTGCACGGGGCGGTTGCATCGATGGGGCGTTATACACTGCGATAATATTACATCATTAGGCGGGCAATGCTACTATCGCGTGCCCTGCTTTGAGCTCGTTACGCGCCACGTTTCTGAGAGAGCGGAGCGGCGGCGGCGGCGGGTGGCGCGGGGCGCGGGGGCGCTTCGCTCCTGCGCCGAGTGAAAGATAACCGATAAGTAGTGTTACGAGATAAATGCCACATAAATTAGCCATACGCGATATACGGCGCGCTGCGCCGCGTATATAGCAGAGGCGCAAAATTGCGGGGACGGTAAACGGGCTTGTTATAGATATAGCCCGGCATAAGATAAACGTTGTACATAATGCGATAGCCGCAAATTGTTTCGCGTACGATGAAATGCGCAAGGTAATTGCGATAGCTTTTTTCCTAATTGCCCGCACGCCGCCGCGCCGTCAAATTGGAGCCGGTGCGCGGAGCGCGTGGGAACGTGACGGGCGGAATCGAAGGGAATAAACGCGCAGGTTTTCTTTTTCCACTTCAATATTTTAACATTTAATCGCCCGCTTAATTGAACGCGAATCGTCTTGGCCGCGCGCGCGGCCCGAGTCGGATTACGCGTTCACGGGCTCACGTCGATACACCGTGCGCCGGGGCTTTATTGCCTCTATGATTCGCGCCGTTAATTTATTGTTGGAGCACAATCGGAGCATCGCGCGAGGCGCACCAAGATTAATAATGCATCCCTCGGTGGGTGCGTCCGCCGGAGTGGGACGCGCGAGAATATGGGTCGAGTTGCCCGTCTACTTGGATGGTGCATCAAAAGCTCGTTGATGCACCCGGCTCGGTAGACTGCCCGACTGCTCAGCGTCTTGTTATCGCCAGCTCACATGTCGTTTCGAACTTTTCAGGAGAGCGACGCCGAGAAGAGCGACCAGGATCTGGTTGTCGATGTGGCGAACGAGGTAAGAGATTATCGTTAACAAGGCTTGCTCATTAATTTGTAGACAAGTATATCCATTTATATAATGTATCTACGCGCAATTACATAATTGTCTGTCGTAATTACTTTGCATGCAAGTTTTCAACCTCGCACTCGCTCAATGTATCAACGTTGTCCGGAGAAAGAACGCGAGATAAAGTTTGATTCGAGCTTCCACTTTTACGACGGTGGGTTGAAAAGTGTTTCGAGCCTAACGTAGGAACGATTTTTTTTCGGTCAAACTCACCTTTATCTTTCGACATAGTCTCCTTTTAAGTCGATACACTTAGTCCAGCGATCCTCCAGCCGCTTTAACCCGTCCAAATAATAGTTGGTCTGCAAAATAGGCATCTACGGATGGCTACGATCTCCTCGTTTGATAAAAATTTCTGTCCCCCGAGCCAAACTTGGAGTTTAGGAAACAGAAAAGAGTCACTGGGGGCTAGATCTGGAAAATACGGGGGTTGGTCAATCAGTTCGAACTGCAATTCGTGAATTTTGGCCATGGCGACCGCCGAAATGCGAGACGGTGCGCTGTCTTGATGGAACAACACTTGCTTCTTGTTCAAATGCGGCCGTTGTTTGCAATTTCTGCCTTCAACTAGTCAAGTAATGATGCGTAGTAGTTTCCCGTGATTGTTTTACCTTTTTCAAGATAGTCGATGAACACAATGCCACGACTATCCCAAAAGACAGTCGCCATCGCCTTCCCGGCCGATCAAGCCTGGTACGACCACGTAAAAGTCTCAGCTGCCCATCTTTTCACGGTGGCAAATGATGGAGCAGAGTCCCCCATTTTTACGAAAACACTAACATCCACTGACACAAACGACTGTCGTACGACAACTGAGAGTCTCCAAAATGGCTGAAATTTTCGGAGGTATCCTTCGAAGCATGTACAGTCGCGGTACTGAAGTGGCGACGACAAGTAAGCGCTTCGTGTCGAGGCTCGAAACTTTTCAACCCGCCCTCGCAAAGAGTAAAAGATTTTGGTACTGAGAAACCAGAGGAAGACAAAAAGACTAAAGATACATTGCCGAGATCTTGAAAGACTCGAGCTGTCTCGCATGCTATATACTTAAGTACGATGTTGCGTGTGCTCGCTTAACGAAAATATCCTGATATTTGCGTATCGCGTAAGGAGGCGTCGTCGCCGCACGCGAACGGGGAGCACTCGGACCCACGTGAAAACGGCACCCTGGAGAAGCTGGGCGCACCGGGCCACGTTGGCGGACCGGTATCCGGCGCGGGCTCGGCATCCGTAAAGGACAGGCCGCCGTCGCGCAGCGGCAGCTCCTCCGCCCGTAGTACACCGTCTCTGAAAAGTAAAGATGTAAGATCTCGCGGAGAGTAAGCTTATTCGGCGCTGCGACCCGGCCCAATCGTGACACTCCGTCGCCCATACATACCGAACACACCCTCTCGCGAATTCTACACAGGTCGAGCTTTTTTTTCCTTTACCCGCGTGGCACTTAGGCTCGTCAGACGTTCCCTTTTCCCTCCTCTCCAATTGTCGCCTCGCTCGAATTTGGTTTCAAGCGTAGAGCAGCGATCGAGAGGAAAAAAGAGGCGAATGGTGGCAAAACTGTGCGATCGTTTGCGATAATCGCGAGAGCATCCTCGGTTCGCGGCTTTTACGTCTGACGGCCCTAACGACGGTTATCGCAACATCTCGGCGACACCGGCGATAACGCGGAACGCATTTTCTTTTTTACTCGCTCGATCGATCTCTTGAGGCAGCGGCTCTCTGCCGCCGCGCGCGAAACGAACGGGAATGACGTCGCGTATTCAAGTCAACTCGGCTGGACACGGCCAGCGAATTCGCAATCGGTACTCGGTCGCGAGAGCTTAGCTACGATTGCGACACAGCGAGCGTCTGCAAAAGTGGGTGCAAAACACCGTGCGTTCGCCAGGTCGACAAGCCGGGTACACCTGTGGCGGCGGCGAGGGGCTCGCGCAGTTGTACGCCAACTATGGGCGGCATCCCTGGGTCCTTGGCGCGGGTCTATCATCCGCCATCGTCGCAGCAAACGCCACCGCAGGGTTATCAGGGCTTGCCATCCCGCGGCAATGAGCCACCGCAGTCGCCCTCGCCATACAGCAACTTGCCATACGCGCGGCCCTCCATGGTGATTCATGACCCAGTAACACCTTACGTCCTTACGTTACCACGCTTTCATTGATTAACTCATATAGTTTTATGTGCGACTGAACGGGAAAAAGAAATGAAACGAACGAATACGAATTGATTTTGGACGCAACCGCTTACGCATTCCTTTTTCAACCCTCGAAGGACTTCTATGAGCCAACGTTGTTCTCTTTGATCGCCTCCATGGATACCGTAAGCCCGTCTTAGATCGAATCCCTGGGTGAAATCTAAATTTAGGGGGCGTATATCGAGTGATCGGAAAGGTCAAACTGGAGGTCCTCTTAGGGTTGAAAGCGCGATCAATCTCGGTGTCAGATTCGTGCAAGAGTAATCGAAATCGACGATGACCGTTTGTTTCGCATTTTTCTACTGAACGACCGCGCCTTAATTTTTTTCCCCCTTCGTCCCCGCGCGACGCCGTCACGATACTGAGTGTAACCGTCTCTTCCGCAGATCGGTTTCGACGGTCACATGAGGATACCCGCGAGTAACGGGCTGAACAACATCGCAGGTGGCAAACCGTACGTAATTAACAGTCTATGCGAGGTCGTCTTGTAGCGAATTCGGTTGCTTGTCCTGGTGCCCGAGCAGAATGCCTGTCTTGTATCCTTAAGGGGATCCTAAAGCCGTCTCTGTTTTATCAAAACTCTTACGGAATTACGGAAGTACTCAGCAAAATCTAGACCATGCTGGTCGAATTTATATAGAAAACGAAAAAACAAAATCTTAGTAATTTTTGGTACACTTGACAATATTTGCTTGATTCAAGAATTCTACAATAAATCAGGGTCGGGGAAAGTTACTTTATAAAAGCATCTAGTTACGGTTTTTTCGCTAAAAATGTGTAGCTAATAAAATTGCTGCTTTTTCGCAAAAGTTGCAAACTGATTGGCTATAAATTTTTCGGACCGAGTAGAACTTGGGATTAAAAATGTCGATAATTGACGTTTTTAATTCCGTCTCCCATCTTTTTAAAACATAAAACATTGTCTCAAGAGTACAAGACAGCCATTCTGCTCAGGTCCTAAGGCTTGTTCGGAGCCAGTTCTTATATTTATGATAATCTTAAATACACGTTCAAAAACTATTTAGTCGAAAGAAATGATCCGCACGTATGCTGTACGGATCATTTTGTTGGGTGAAAAGTACTTCAAGACATGTGATAATCTCTTTAGGTTGCCAGTAATAAATAACAATGGATAAGTTTAGTCGACGTTAACTGGCACGTGTTTAATAAGTTAAAAGTAAAAAATATACAGTGCGACGTTTCGACCAAGGGTTTAGGTTCTTATCAAGCACAAATTCTAAAGAGGACAAACCAATAATCGGAGTTACACGCTTGTCATAGATACAAATAAAATAAAAAATAAAAATTCAAACTAAATTGATGGACAAAAAATTATATGTACAATAGTAATATGTAAAATGAGACGCGATCACATATAACGAGTGCGATAAAAGATATGGTTTGTCAAAGCGGATACGTAAAATAACAAATTGATACTTGTTACTTCAAGAGATATTTGAAACGATCCTTAAATATAAGAACTGACTACAAACAAGCCTCAGTGCGGACTAGCGTGAGCAACTATCCAGGGGCTCGATTCTTGAATTCGAAAAGTCTGCTCTCACAGAAATGGTTGAAAGTCGACTGGTTGGCTAAAAATCACACGAATGGCCAATCAACTCGCAACTCTTCTGCAAAGGCAGAATCCTCGCATACGTTTCTCCTGCGAATGAATTCAAGAATCGAGTCCCAGGGCAGTCGCGATAAGAACGCGTTGAACACGTTGCGTTGGTTTCGCGCAGGGCGTACTCCTACCATATGAACGGCGAGGGCCAGCTGCAGCCCGTACCATTCCCCACGGACGCTCTGGTAGGGCCGGGCATCCCGCGTCACGCGCGTCAAATTAACACCCTGACGCATGGCGAGGTGGTCTGCGCCGTTACGATCTCGAATCCGACCAAGTACGTCTACACCGGCGGCAAGGGTTGCGTCAAGGTTTGGGACATCGGCCAAAGTGTCGGCAGCGCCAGCGTGAAACCAGTTTCGCAGCTGGACTGTTTGCAGCGTGACAATTACATTAGGTGAGTGATCCGTTATCCCCGCTGTTACGTCCAAACGACCGATTGGACACTCGCGAATCTCCCGACGAGACTCGCGCGCGCGGTTTGGTCTGATAAGATAGATAGCGGCTAGAGTTTCTTTTGATACGCGGAGAGAATTTTCTTTTATAAAATTTACCCCGAAAATCGTAATCGTGGGTCATGGCATTTTGAACCGCACGAGAGTAATTATACAATTAGTACACATTTTACTAGTAGAATGTATGGTAAAATTTCAAAACTCTCGCACGGTTCTTCGAAATGTCACGTTGTCCTACAATTTTAAGAAAAGAATTCTCTCCGTGTAGCTATCGAAGTAAATTTCGTTTGAAGGAAAAAGGGACGAAACCGTTGTTAGAAATTGCTTCTTAGCTGAGAAATTAAACTTCTTAATTGTAAAGCTAACTAAATATTGGGCGAAATCATGTTCGACCTTTCCAGGTCCGTGAAGCTTCTGCCGGACGGAAGGACCCTGATAGTCGGCGGGGAGGCCAGCCAGCTGAGCATCTGGGACCTGGCGAGTCCCACGCCCAGAATTAAAGCGGAGTTGACCTCGTCGGCGCCCGCGTGCTACGCCCTGGCGATCTCGCCGGACTCGAAGGTCTGCTTCAGCTGCTGCAGCGACGGCAATATCGCCGTGTGGGACCTGCAGAATCAGACGTTGGTCAGGCAGTTCCAGGGTCACACGGACGGCGCGTCCTGCATCGACATCTCCGCCGACGGGTCGAAGCTGTGGACCGGCGGCCTCGACAACACCGTGCGCTCCTGGGACCTTCGCGAGGGCAGGCAGCTGCAGCAGCACGACTTCACCTCGCAGATATTCTCCCTCGGTTACTGCCCCACCGGCGAGTGGCTGGCCGTCGGGATGGAGAACTCGAACGTCGAGGTACTCCACGCCACCAAGTCCGACAAGTACCAGCTGCATCTGCACGACTCTTGCGTGCTCTCGCTGCGTTTCGCCTCCTGCGGCAAGTGGTTCGTCTCGACCGGCAAGGACAATCTGCTGAACGCGTGGCGTACGCCGTACGGTGCTTCAATATTTCAGGCGAGTATTCAAACGATTTGTGATTGAGATTGATTGATTGATTGATTGATTTCGAGCTAAACTACTTTTTTCTTCTCTCGAAGTTTTTTTTAGATTCGTTGAATTTACTTTAATTAAAAGTAAACGAATTCTCAGAGAGATCTCTCGTCCCGTTTTTAAACCGGCGAATAAATTTGTAAGCTGAGGAGCGTTCTCGTATCGGTAAGTTTTGTGTTGCCAATATTTTGTTAAACTTTGCAGTCCAAGGAGTCGTCGTCGGTGCTGAGCTGCGACATTTCCGCGGACGACAAGTACATTGTGACCGGATCCGGCGACAAGAAGGCCACAGTATACGAAGTGATTTACTAAGCCTATTCCTAAAGAAAGAGACTTGCCTTTCCTCCTTTAATAATGTTAAAATAATGAACTTCGTTAATGTGTATTCTATCCTTTCGCGAGGAAGGAAGGCGCGAAGAGCCGCCGCAAGTGGGAGAAACTCTCGGCGGCCTTTAGAGCCCGTGCGACTGATAAATGTGTACATATACGCGAAATCTTGTATTGTAACGGAATTACAAATAGAGGAATGAAAAACCGAAGTGTGTGTGTGTGTGTGCGTGTGTGCGCGCGCGCGTGTTTATGAATGAACGGGATCAGCGATGTATAGTAATCACGTGCACGCGCGCGCGCACGTCCCGATTTCACGAGTGCGAGCCCCGATACTCCCGATTCTCCGCCGATTACGCGATAACGTACGCGTGTACCTGCGCGCGGACGGGACTTCTATTTGTCGCGTGTATACAACGAGCGTACGCGTTGACGATGGAACGGCGTTCCATCCAACCGGAGCGATTCGCATACGCACTAAAGTAAACGAGAAGAGCCTTCGCAAACGGTGATGTTAGATATACAGGGTGATTCTTGATTGCACGCCGGTACCGGCTCCAGATAACAAGTTTAGAGTTCGAAACGAGGAAGAGATGCGCCGTACGAGCACAACTCATTTAGCTTTTATCTCTTTTGAGTAATAATTCTTTTTTTTTTTAATATAAGTTTCAATGTATAAAAATGTATTTCGAGCGCTCGTTCCCCGCTGTGATACACGTACACGCTACGTTCTGATACAACTCGATGTTTACGTATTACGATTTTGCGCATATTGCGATTTTAAAAAATATTGCAGCACGCGTTGTGGCGGAAGGCGAACACACTCTTCACTTTCTTTAACTCGTATAACATTATTTTTCCTTTTTGGATCCTAGATCTCTAAAGTATCAACGAACAATTAAGTTTCACCTTATATATGATCTTGTAGTTACGTAAATGTAGGATTGTAACGCGCCTAAAGTGGACGGCCGATAAAGTGGTAAGGCATCAACTTGCGGTAGACCTGGCCTACTCACCGAAAAATCGCATTACGCTTTTTAGTAAACGGATATGTGATCGTCGAGGCATCATTTCGAATTTCTGTAACCGCTGTATCATGAAACGAATCGTATTTCCTTCTTATTACCCTCCTGAACGGTATAAAGATACGGAGAAGTCTAGGAGATGTTTAAGTGGCATTTAACAAATGTAGGACGTTTTCTGTGCGTTCCCACGGCATTTTTTCTTAAAGGCGTGATCGGCGCGGACTTTTATTATCGAAATAAACGCCATTTCGACTTAAAGCTATGAATAATCGCGCGGATCGTTGGACTCTTGACTCGGTTCGGTAATCTCTTATTTCGACGAGGGAAAAAAATTACGCTATATCGAGTAGTAATTTGCCGTGCGAGACGATGGACTTCGAGCCGTCTCCTGATCCTGTCGGTGTCAGTATCAATGTCACGACGCCCGTCACTGTTTGAAATAGCCCGTGACATAAACTAGTTTATGAACGAATACCTTTTTTGCATCGTAAATATAGTGCGATACCTACGTGTAATAATCGAATTTCTACGTGATATAGCGCGTATGCGTGGCGACGAATGGCAAATACGAATCCCTGTACAGAATCCTTGTACATATTCGACGATTGTGATTAACGATTATAACGAGACGCACGGTGTACGTCGCTGTACGACGTACACCTGTACTCTTTAAATATACCTATGTAAAGTACAATCCCCCTCCCCCGCCCCCCCCGTGCACAATCGAAACAAAACTATTTCTCTACTTTAATTAGGTAATACTCGACACGCGGAGATCAATAGAAGCGGAGCAGCAGCGTTTCGTCGTGACGTTTAATATTAGTTAAATATCTACTAATTATTCTTTAATAAACTCGACGTTGCACAGAATTGAAATCACGATGTCCTTATGTTAAAAACAAAGAGAAACTGATTAGTCTATGATAATTGAGACGTTTAGTCCGATTGTAAAATATAATAAAAAGCGAATTTCGTAAAATTCCTGCTTTCGATTGATCTTCGTCCAAAACTTAGCCGAATGAAATTCTCGACAGGCAGACGAGCGCGAATTGCATTACCGAGATGAATAAATTCGTGAGACCATGCGGCCCTTTCTATTGTGTTCTTGACATGCATTAAAACCGAATGAGACTTTGAGAAGAAACAGGTGGTTACTTTATTTGAGCTTGGTCGGGATGAAAGTGATTCTCGCGGCTCTCGTCTTGCTGGCGAATACAATGACGAATTGAGAGTTTGCATTAATGCATTATATGTAGGGAAAAAGATACGTCATGTAACTAATGATGACGTATCCGCAAAGTTCTTGAGGAAATAAATAAGGATCTATTCCATTTTTCCCCCGTCGCATTTTTAGCAATAATAATATGGGACAAATTTTAACACTATGATTTCCTTTATTGTCTCGCATCAAAGCTGGATTTTCCCAATTTTCTTTCTCTCTTTCTCTCTCTCGCTCTCGGTGTGCGACAAAAGAAAATAAAATTGTTTTCGCAGTGAATTTTATCGCGCCTTCTTGGAACGTACCGTCGGAATTCGCATGAGGAATCCAGTCGCTCCACACAATGGGATATAACGCAAGTAGCAATTATACCGGAGTTAAGGGTCATCATGAATGAAATATTATTCATTGGCAAACATAGGTCGCCACGTTTATCAGCCTGATAAAAATAAGCGTCACAGCTCGCGAAATAGCAATGCGATTACAGTTAACGTAAAAACGGGGCAAAGAGAGAAAGTATGTATCAGTACTACCGCTACTGCAGCGAGATAATTTATTGTTAATATTGATGCCATATATACCTTAAGGGCTGGAGGAGAATCGAGAGAAGGAGAAAGTAAGTACAAGATATCACAAGTTTGCTTCCGATAATTTTCGATGTATTTACATTTTACGTGTAATCCGTGTGTACAAGATCGTTAAAAACATTAAATGTTTATACTCGCGTTATGATAATCTATCCATGTATTTACATGTTCTTCCGTGTGTACAAGATCGTTAAAAACATTAATGTTTACAGGCTTGCTTTCCTCTTTTTACCTTCTTTCTTTTTCTCGCAGACTCTATCGCATGCCCCATATTCCGCGCGCGCGCGCTCTCTCTCCCTCTCTTTCTCTCTCGCTGGATTATCTTCTTTTTTAATATTCTCTGTCGTATCGCCATTGCTTATATACAAGTAGAAAAATTCTAGTGTCATCATTATCGTTACGCGCCAGAGATTATATGCATCCATCCTTTATACAAATCGTTCGTATGAATTTAGATTCGCATTGGGTTTTTCTCTTATTCTTTATTCGACCAGCGACACGATCTCGCACTCGTACTTTTGAGATAAAATCAAGATCGAGAGTGGAGGCGCAAAGGGTGCTGCGATATATATATATATATCGCGTAAATATTTTGCAAGTTCGCTGATCACATCACGTACAATATCTCATACATGCATACATACATACATACACATATTCTCATCATGTTTCATGTGTATATATGTATATATATTTCTCACATATGTGTGTATAAATACATATATACACACAAAATCAGAAGATGCATAATGCAATCAACTTTTGGATTAATCAAATTTACAGGAAATGTACAATAAGTAAATGGTGATTTTCTCCGCACTTCGTTTTCGAGACTTAGGTTTACAAAGACGCTCTTTTTCTTCCTTCTTTCCTCTCTTGGAAGGTACCGTAATTTCAGATTTTTAAACAATTCAGAGATACAGATGTGTCTCGTATGCAGTATGATAATGAAACGATTCAATACAGAAAATTATCCAAATACTTAAAAACAAATAGAATACTTGTACAATGATGAGACCATCTTGCCGTACCTGTAGTCGATCATTATCCTCACAAATCAATTTCACCTTATTTATCTACAAATATAAGGCTGTAAAAAGATATACAAAAGTAAAATACAAGTGTCGCAGCTCATAATCGCAACAAATTATTAAATCATTCTAGTAAAATTTGAAACGAAAAAAAAAGAAATTTATTTCAAGCTAACACTGAATTGCTCTGATTACTTTAAAGTTAACAACCTTCCGTCATGCAGAACATTATAAAAAGTATCCCTGCGTCTCTCGAGAATAAATTGTGCACATTAAGCGCAATTGAGAACTGAATACATTTGGTCGTAAAACTGTACGCTTCTCACCGGAACGCAGCGTATACGCATTACGTCTCGACGTTCCGGCAGAAGGTCCTTAATTCTAGAAAAGAAAAAGCTAACAATTCACTCGAATTGCGTTCGGAGTTACGGCAACGAATATGTCCAATCGCGGCAATTACTTTGACAAAAGGTTTCATAAAGAAAAGAAAACAATATACCGACTGCACATTTAGACAATAGATAAAAATCCGTCATAATTATATTTAAAAAAAAGTAAAGTGCAAAAGGGATATATTACGTTGCTATACCCCTTGCAATGTTGCCAGATTCTGTTTTTGTTTCCATACTTCTAAAGAAAATGATCGTATTAAGGCTCCCATTTCTTCTTCACAGCCATACAAATTGTAATGTCAAAAGCAAGAAACTGGAGTGTGAATTTTTGTCTTATATGTTTGGAACTTGTTTACATATTTTTTACGTACATATATGTTAAAATTAAATTTTGTCATATATCTTCATATATGTATGTAATTCATATATACACACATATATATACAAGTACATACATCCAAATGTAAAATATACATTACAAATAATATCGAAAACATATTTTACCATTTTCTTGCATCAATAAATACATATACATTTACAATTCAATTTGCAAGCATTCATATGATTTGTAAATATTTACATCATTTGTTAATTTACAAATTAAAAGGAAATGCGATATAATTTATACTATCAAATATATATAACGCAAGAAAATTACTTTTGATGTACCAGATAAAATTCATGATTTCTCACTCTCGACGTCATATTTGATGACTGGTGAAGAAACTGTCTTTAACAATTTCACGACAGTCCTGTGATTTACAACTATTTGACAGACATGAGCGGTAGCCTGATATACATATCAAGAAGAATATGGAGTACAGGAAAGTAGAATAATTGACATACCGCTTGGTCACTTGTATCTGTCATGCAAGTTTATCAGAAAAAGCATTAACTAGTTGCGCTAAATAGTACTCGTCGCTGTAAAAAACGCGTTTAAAACAAGAGATCGTATTTAGCAATACGATTAAGTAGTCCTCACACGCCGATTTTCAATTTTTAACAAAATATTTTAACAATAACGATCAGAGTCTGGCAATTTTGCTGTTGCTCTGAGCAACATGTATATGAAACATTAGTTTTACTTTCCTATATTATGTATACCTTTCCGCATTCATCCTTAACGTACATTATATTTACAAAGTTGCGCTAAATAAATCTATATATATATGTATATATATATATATATATATTTTTTATAATTATATATATATATACACATCATATTATCTTACTATTCTTAAGGCTAGTTTAGCTTGCTGCACACACGTGACGTGGTCCATGTGACGTATGAAGACACTGGGTGGTCAGTCGCTGTCCGAGCCCACTGGATTGATCTTTTTCCTTTTCTTCGCTTGCTTTGTACTCACGACTTCCTCTCCCTGTAAGAGGCAAGAAAAATCGTTCCTCGTCAATTTTTCGATACTATTATAACACACAATGTGTGGTGAGCGTGGCGCAGAGAAATGTGCGCTGCTTAGTAAATAAATAAACGAAAAGATCCTAGATCAAATCCACGAGACCGCTGGTTTTTTCGGACGCTACTTCTCGGAGGAAAATGACAACCACCGAGAGTATCACACATATCTCTTTAGAGGTATAGTCCTCCAGGTAAAGATTTTCTTCGGTAAGAACCCCAGTGAAAGATTGGGTTAGGGTTAACGAAGAAGGAAGAAATGGTCTTCCAAAAAAGAGGTGGGCGAGAGGCCAACACCCCTCACCGTAAAAATTCACTATTGCAAATGCACACAATGAGCCTCGGCTGGAGGCAATTTGTTGTGAAGATCAGGGCCCACTTGGGGCTGTAGAGCCAGTTATGACGACGATGATAATTATATTGAGCCATTATATTATATAACACACAATACACAACATGTACAATTACATATGATTTGAAAAACCTACCTCGGTACTAGAAGAACTATCAATATGATATCGCGGAAGTGGTCTCTTCACATTGGATCTTTCTCTCGTGTTAGCACCAGTTTTCCTGTGGCCGCCTTTACCACTGCCTCCGCCACCTCCTCCGGAGGCAGTAGTATGTTTCCTCGCGGAACTACTCGGCGGCGGTGGTTCATTCTCCTCATTGACTTCCGCAAGCGCAAAGAGATCGCCATAGCTTTTCCTCAGCGAGTCGCTACCCGCCGCCTGCGCCTGCTGTAATGCCCTTTGCATTCCTTCCGAATGAAACAACTGTAGTTCCGCGGAGGATATACAGTTTTGGCGTAATTGGTCCAAATGGCCGAGAACCTGTTCGCCGGTAGGTGGGCCGGACTGTTGATTTTGCTTGGCTCCAGAACGTTTCCGTTTGTTCGGGCTGGTCGCGGGATAACGGGTGCTAAGTAAATTCGCGAGCAGTTCGCCGAGTTTTTCTTCATACTCGCGACACCAGTAACGTAGTGTAGTCACGACAAACATATCGCCGTCGACGCTTTGCCGGGCGAGTAGTTGTCGTAGAAGATCCAACGTCGGCCTGTAACGCATTAATCGAATACAAAATCGTACATCGAATCGTTTTACAATAGGTTTACCGATGACTGGCAATTATTTTACTCACTTTTCTTGCTTAAGCATAAACAAGATTGAAGTAAGCGCCTCCGCGTGATTACGAAACTGTAATTTCGGCAAAACCGGCAACACGTAATCGATGGGGAAATCGTGTGCGAATATCAGCTGCCAGAAACAGTACTGCTCGAATGTCTCCCAATTTAAGCTGGCTGTCAATAGCGTGGTGAACGACTCCTTCTTCAACATTTTTAAATGGCCCTGCATTATCTGACAAACTAGATCCTGTAACTGACACGAGTCTACAGTGGACACGACCAGATGTAAAAGTTGAACATTTCCCAGAGCGACATTTTGAAATCCTGTGTACACGTCGGGCACGAGGTAACACAGCATGAATATGTTATCCTCGTGGCAAAGCTGCAACAGAAACAAATTAAGCGTATTAGAATGTACCGCTTTGACGGTAGAAAGAATTGTTACACGACTTTAGGCTGGCAGTTGGTTTATTTGTTTGATTCCGACGTCTCGACCATACGGGTTGTGGTTCTTTTCAAGGAATTAGATAATCTACAAGTTTTGTAAGTCTTAGAGAGGACAATTGCAACTTAGATTTTATCGATTGCAGAGTGAAATCAGTCGGATTTTGAGCCACATAAAATATTATTTACTTACAAACGTTACGTCATTAAATACCGCTTGGAATACACATACGAGGTTTAATTTATTTATTATATGTCTGTGTACATAAAATTTGTACCTTTAAATCTGATACCAGACAGGCGTCCAATTTTTTTTCCCGCTGCCCGCAAAAATCCTTGTATACCGATGCTTTGACATCGTTCAGAACATTGCTGAAATAGAACGGATCAAAGATTAAAGTATTTTTTCCCCTCTTGCCTCTCGTCTACATTTGTTCAGTACTTAATACTTTTCGTCTAACCTCGGTTCGCCTTCTCTCTTTCCCTCTTCTCTGCCCCAGACTTTTAGGAAATAAAGAAGGAGATAACCTATCTTGGATTGAACCGACTGCATTTCCGCCAGCACCCTGGCCAAGAGCTTCCGCCTGTTATCCTCTTCCTTGCACAATTGAAATTGATTTCGAAACATAACAAACAACGGCGTGCTTATACTATCAGCCAGCACTTCCTCGTTCAGATTATCCGACGGAAAGATCTGCGCCGTGATCTGCGGCGATAAGATAGTTGATATGCAGGACGCTAACGGGGGTATCGTCTCCGCATCTATCTCGTCCTCGACGACCATTTGTACTATCCTTTCCATCGCTTGGCACCTCGACTCATTGTCGGTCTCCGTGTGCAATGTTTCTATGCTAGTTCGCAGCTCCTCCGGCTCAAGTATAAGACGCAAGTGCGACGTGATATCCTCCTTCTTCACGACGCAGTTCGCGTTCCTTTGCTCGTTTTTCAATTTTACCGTAGACAACGGTACGTCCTCCTCGTCCTCCTCGTCTTCCACTTTCGTCACTATTCTAAAAAACAGATGAATTCGTACAATTAAACCTACGTCTGTGATAATGGCCAATTACAAGACAATCATTTGTCAGGTTCGTCACGCTCGAAAAACGACTATAGTCGCAGTTGACGCGGTTGAAGTTATAGTTAAGTCTTAAGTCTTTTGCCGCTGTGGCTTCTTGAATATATTGATGAATCGAAAGACGAAGCAGTTTGCTTCAGCCTATGATCCTTCTACATCGAAAAGATTAGTACATGCAATAGATAGTGCATTATAGTAGTTGCAACAGATAGTTAACCTGAGAGGAGACTCCTCTTCTTCGTCACTGAACGCTGGTTCCGGATCCTGAGCCACGTGGTTATTCTCCACGGTAGAATTGGTTGTATTCTCTATTATACTCCCTGGATTGTGCTCCTTGTTGAGCTCTTCCATTTTACCTGAATATTTCAGAACCTTATTACCTGCTTAAGGACATGATGTAACAAGTTAGTAAGCGATAATTGTGCTGAAAGCTGAAAGTGAATCGTCAGATTTGTCTCAGAAAATTTTTAGGAGAAGCGAGCACGCGGCCATCATGCTGATATATCGCAAATATTACTGGAAATGCACTACATATCTCGAGACAACTTCTGGATATTTAATGCATTTTCAAGTGCAATTTTGTTAAAAGCTCTTTCTACTTTTCACAACTTTTTTATGATAAATTAAAGTGTCTTTGGAAGGTATTAATTTGAAAACAAATATTAGAACTCGTGGGTGAGAACTAGGATGAGAATTCAGTGGTTATCTCGATTACAGTGGCGCTGCTTATATTTAAGGTCGTTTCAGGTGTTTGTCCACCCAATCCGATTAATAGAATAACCCAGGTAGCATACGGTGGTTTATACGTTTCATAAATGTATGGCTTTGTAAAAGCCTAGAAAACGTATAAAACCCCAATATGTTCTACTTGGGAACCATATAGCATCCTAAGATCGTACATAAGATGAACTTGAAAATACGATTGTAAATATCACAAAAATTTTGGGACAAAAACAGCATCTCGTTCTCAATTTCGTACTAATCGTACTAATCAGGTAAGCGTAATTTTAATTTTTTACTATCAATGTTAGCGCCTGATAAATAATATACTAAATCGTCAGCCTGACGAAGAAACTTGATTCGTATCAAAAACTGTTTCGTTATAATTTTGACCCCGTCAGTGCTAGCGAATGATGGATTTGAGTGCTGAACATGTATACACGTGTCCAGCAAATGGCACTACTGGCACAATGGCCTCTGGACGTCAGGTGATCATCCAAGGCCCGGTTTCACCAACGTACATCCTTTAGCTTTGAGCTTAGCTTACTTCGTTCTTTGTCACTTCCCAACTTTAGAAAGAGACAAACATGAATTAAACCAAGATTAAAGTTAAGCGACGTTTGGTGAAACCGGGCCTAAATTGGGACAATCACGATTTGTCACTTTTTGTCCTGACTTTTCTAATAGGTTATTCTAAATCAGTTATTCTAAATCTATTCCCCCCCCCCGTCGCCCGTTCTAATTTTTTAATGTTCCAACCGAGCATCAAGAACATAAATCATATATGTGTATAGAATTCAAATCTGCTTCCAATGAGCTTATATATTTTCTAGTATAAAAAAATAATATATATTTTCTAATATAAAAAGCTATTCCGAATTATAACGTATAAACATGTTTAATTTGGAATAGAATGGCGTTAAAAACATTCGGGGTTAATAAATGAATTTTTACTTCTGCCAACCAGAAGTTCGCGTCTCAATGAGGCTGAAGAGTTATCTCTTTCTCTCTCTCTAACCTCTAACTACTGATTTGTTGAAGCAAATTCGTTGTTTCATTCCATATTTTGCATAACACAACTGTAACATATCTTGATCTCATATACTTTTTTCAGGAAAAGTTTTTTATTTATCAAGAAATCAATCATGGTTTCAATCACGTGGCTCGAGTCGTTTACGGCGTTGTCGTCTGTAAGCGAATCGAGCCACGCGATTGGTCGAAACCCTACTGTTGGCTTTTACGGAAAGTGTGTGTGTATGTGTGTGTGAAGGCCTTAATCAAGGAATCAAATCTTTGACGATCATTGACAATAATTGACAATCATATAATTGTTAGGCTTTGTGTTTACGAAGCTAGAATTAGATTCAAATTCTCAATCCGAGTTAGAAAGATTCTAGAGAGTTCTGCAGATTTTCGCACTTGCATGAATTTAATGTTAAACTTCAATCCTAAATTTTATCATGCGTTGTAAAGTGAAACGCATAAATAAAAAAATTATGCCGTATTAAACTCATCCGTATTAAAACATTTCGAAAAAACTTACAGTAGTAAATCTGGTTTTAAAAAATTTATTAATTTAATAATCAATTATTCAGAAATTCTTGAAAACCAGAATGAGTAATACGTAAATTCATGTATTTCTTTTAAACTTATTATTGTAAATTGAAAAATATTTTAATAAAGATGAGTTTAATGTTTTCATTTAAGTACAAAAATAATTATCAAAGATTTATCAAAAACGTACTAGTCAGACCTTATAATGAATAATATGAATTAAATTTCCTTGTCAAATTGACGGGTTAGCATATTACTTACGAAATATCAATTAATCAAGTAGAAAATAAAATCGACATGAACTCTGCAACTGGTACAAGAATAGAGACTTAAGCCTACGGCACACGGTACTATTTTTCCTACTGGATTCCTTACGAGAGCCAACCAGGATTCAGCTTTGAGTCACCTGATCGAAAACTCTGCGTCCTGATTGGCTCTCGTAAGCAATCCAGTAGGAAAAATAGTATCGTGTGCCGTTGGCTTTATTCGTGTTGCTTGAAAAATTTTTGTATTTAAAACGAGATGGGTATGTGTATATTTAAGCGTTGGAAAAAAAGCGAAACAAAAAATTGTACGTGTAAAAAATGCAAGCAAACACAAATCTAAAGCGATAAACTTTTTATGTAACATTTACATCCGAGTTGCTGTCCGCGATCGAAGTTTTAGTAATTTATCTCTAATTGAGAATTTGTGGATCTATTTCTAGCGTCGTGGACAAATTGTTTTAGATACAGACATAACAGTTCAACCTTGTATTGATCATGGCGAACTGTGGTTTTGTTCGAAGGAGAAGTTAAATAAGAAATAATGTATATTGAAAAATTGTATCTACAAGTACTTTTTTATGAGACGAGTGCAGTGTGTGACGAGAAGATATCTAGTCTGGTAATTGTAGTCCGACTCATTTCACCTATTCATGTAAAAACATCAATCACGTACGATCTCAGTGACGCTATAAAGCCACTTGTTTTTCAAGACGATCTTGAATATAAGATTAGATCTATAAAGTATCAATTAGATTATATCAATAATAATTTACCGGACTCGGTATTTGGCGGCAGACAGAATTCTTTGAAAGTTTCCCGTATCTTGCTCCTCAATTCTCGGTCCAGTTTCGGGCTATCGAATAACGGATATAGGCTAGGTAAAACGCGTTTTTCCAAAATTTGTCGCAACGATGAAAATATGCCATTTCTCACTTTGTCCGTTAGCGCAGGATAAAAGTTCGGTATTATCTGCGAAGAAAAAAAAAAGTGTAAAACTTTGTAAAAAGAAACTATAACGACGATCATCAGGATATGACTCACTCTGCATAAAAAGTCTAGAAGTGTGGCAGTGACTGGTGGATGAGACCTCATTGAATTGTGCATAACAAGAATCGCTGGCTCGATATTCATAATGTTGTCTTTGTCGGGCTCGAAGAACAGCCAGTCGTAGAACAGAGCCAGCTTCGCGTTGCTGGCGGCCACGGTGGAAGTGCACGTTGTGAATAACCAGCCTATTACTGCCCATCGCGGAATAATGTCGGAGCACAGCAGTTCATTCGTGGGGTGTATGACCCCGACGATGAAGCGAATAAGATCGCACCTTAACGACTGAGATTCGGGTGTTGCCAAGTATTGCCTCTGAAACCAATCCTGATAGCGCTTGTGATTGCCGAAGCGGACGTTGCTCGTGAGGAACACGAGCTTCCTCTCCATTTCCGGCGTCAGGCGGGACTGCAGGAACCTCCGGGAGGTTCTGGTTTGTAACAATTGAAGAACCCCACTGAAGTTTGGACAGAGATTTTTCGGATTGAGCAGCACGTCCTTCCAGAGCGCCTCAAACTCGGTTATTCGCGCGACGTTCTGCAGCAGGCGAACCAGGTCTCTGAAAGATATAATCGGTCGCCGTTAGTCGGTGTCCGAGTACAGCTCCGCCGCCTGGAGCACTCGTAATACCTTCCAATGGCTAGGCAGTCCGCCATTCGTTCCCTTATCAGAGATACTGTGAAGGTCACTTCCTTTTGCCGCAAGCCAGCCAGATGAGGTGCATTGTGGTCTTCTATTAACCGTAAATACGTGTACACAATTGACGCTACTAAAAACGGAAATTTGTCCAACCACGGTCGGTTCTCTTGAAAAATGTCTAAGAGGGCGTCAACCAGGAACAAGTTCCTCGGGGAAATGTCCCCGCCTGCTGCATGCCTCAACAAACTCAAACAAAGATTATCCACATTAGTTACACTAGTCCTTATCATTTCCCTTAGCAACCACAGTAATTGGCTCCTGGTGACGTCATTTAATCTCAAATATTTATCTAGTACTAATTGATTAAGATGCAGCAGCACAATGCCTAAGCCATCTCGTGTGATCAGCGTCAAGTCTCTGTAACTCTTTGCCGCGTTCTGCGGATCCGTCAGGATAACCACCAGTAAGCCAAGCGAAACCTCCTCGTGGGTCTTGTCCTTGCACACGGCATTGTTCAACGTGTCGTGGACCTCCTTCTCCGAGAGTCCCGTCGTCAGATTCTGCAAGGTCGCGTGGCATCTCTCCAGCTTCTGAAAACATATCGCGTCGCTCGATATCACTGACGATGTGAATCTCCACCTGGCAGCCGGACGGGGACAAAGAAGCGAGGTCGCCGGGCGGAAGGCGCGGGGACGAGGCTGCGTTCGCCAAGGGGTGTTCGAATTCCGCGCGGGGAGGCGCGTTTACGCATGTGGCGCCGCGTGCTCGCCAACGTGCGCGACTGTCGCAACAATGGCGGAGGCCCTCGCACCCGATACGTACTCAGTGACTATTTCAAATATTTATGTTACCTCTTCCAGCTCGTCCTTGTTCTCGACGCAGCTCGTGTTGAACAGCCGGGACGCCGGAGTCTTGGGCTGCTCCATCGCTCGCTGGCTGCGCCGCGGCCGGCCCGTGAACGTAACTCGAGGCCCCGTCGAGCCCTCAGCCCTCAGCCCTGTGCCCCTGGCCGCTTGTGCTCGCCTCCGTGCATCGTGATCGTCTCGCTGGCCTACTCGTTCGCTCTATCTCGCTCCCGTCGCCGCTCTACCTCTCTCTCTCGCTCCCGCTCGCACGCACGGCCCGTATCGCTCGCTCTCTCGCTCTCCCTCTTTCTCGCTTTCTCCCACTACGCCGCCCGTCTCTCTCTCTATCTCTCTCCCTCTCTCTCTATCTCTCGCTCCCTCCGCCGCCCACTCCTCGCCGATCGCCCGTGTGCCGTGCGCCGTGCGCGGACCAGCCACCGTGTTTATTCCTCGTTCTCGGCGGACCTCCCCGACTCCGTCTACAGCTCCGATGCGATTGCGCATTGATAGATGCGCCCAGTCGCCGAGAGGGTCCCGCTTCGTGCCGCGATGCCCCCGTCAGCGCGCCCGGCGATCGCCGTCCGCCAATCAGGGCCCACCAGCCCGTACACACCGCGCAGCCGGGTGGGGTGCGGTGGAAAAGGAGTGCGACTCGCGGCCAGAGGCGGCTGTATACGGGGCGCATTGGGGTGACAGGACCGACGGGGACACCAGGGCGCCTGCCCGCGCGTCCTGCCGAGCGCCGCCAAAATTCGCCGACTTGGCGCGCGACGACCCCGGGACACGCTCCACCCCGGCTCCGAGGGACAAATCCGACGAGTGTCATCTCTCCAGCGAGCGTTTTCATCCTCTTTGTTTTTTTTTCTCTCTTTTTAGTTCGTAACCGACCCACCGCGATCGCGAACCCGCTCGTTGACGCACGCGTCGCTTCGCATCGGCGGCTCCTTTGCAATTTAAAACACGTCGGACCCGCTCGCGACGCGACTGTTCGATACCGCTCGGCGAGACGGAGGGAACGCGAGATCCGCGGAGGCCGGTCGAGGGGTTGAGGTCCTCGAGGAGCGCCGCCGAGCGGAGAGACCTTCGCTCCCGTACGCGCGCGGCTCCTCTCTCGCCCTAGGAATTTTTTCACCGGTTAATCACCCGGCGGACAGCGGAGCGAGTAACGGAAAAGCGTCTTCATGGTGGATTACGTTTTGCGCCTCGCGGCGCGGGGCTTTGTGCGATTACCGCGGAGCGTTTCGCGACGAGTCGTGAACTTCGTCCTCTTCGTACGCCACGCGTTATTAATAAGCACGTCGGCGCGCCGGGAAAACTGCGGGATCGTCGTCGCGAAAAGTTCGGAAAACCGTGCGCCTGAAATCGCGCGCGCGCGCGCGGAGTCGGTTCTTTCGGGACTTCCCCCCGCCTCGCGGGAAGTCGCGAGGAAAAACGTGAGATTCGCGAGGTCGATCGTTCGCGGAGCGTGACCGAGTTAAACTTTTTCCCGCGGCCGTGCGGGGAAGAGCGACGTCTCGATTCGACGAGGATGCTCGAGGGGGAAATTCGCACGTCTCCAAACTTCTCGACCGTCCGACTTGTTTTTTTCCCCCCCCCCCTCGAGCGTCGCTTTCTGCACTTTTCGGACAGGTGGCTTATCTAGAATTTCAAAGGCACCGAGGAACAAGGACGACAATGACAACTTGATTTTTCGACGAATGAGAGGAGTCTCTCCCGCGACATCGCGCGTTTGCTCGGGCGAGGGTGAAAAAATTTTCAAAAAAACGGCACCGCCAGACCCGGCGGTGGCGAAACGTTCCTCTAGAGCCATGCGTGCGGCGGGGCGCAGCCGCGCGTGCGCGCGCGCATGCGCGGTCGCGGCGGGCGACCCGCGAGCCACCAGCCGCCGCTAATCGCGCTGGGCGTCCCGGCCACGCTTCTCTCGTCTCGTCGACCGGACCGTCCGTCCTCGCGGAACGCCCTTCGTCGCGGCGGCCTTCCGGTGAGGTGCACGCCGGTTTCTCCGGGGCCTCCGGCGCCCGCTCGACGGCCCGCGATCCCGTCCCCGGGTCCCACTTCCGCGACACGGAAACGGAACTCCGGACCTGCTCGCACGATGCTACGGCGACGTCGACGGCTACGACTACGACGACGTCGACGACGACGTGTGGCTGCGGCGGGACACGCCTTCCTGTTCGCCGACATTGTAAACTCCGGAGTCTACCGGCCGAGGTTCCTCGAGTCCCGAGGTGCCCTCGACACGCGCCTCGAGGTCGCAGCACCTCGTCGCCATTTTTTTTTTACGCGAGACGAGTGTCACGAGGCGCGCGACGCCGTTTCCCGCACGGCCACGGCCACGTTCGTTCGATCGTCGTCGTCGTCGTCGTCGTCATCGCGGCGTCCGTCTCCGCGACTCCTCCCGGCCTCTGGGATCCGTGCGCGGATCCCCGCGCGCCGCGCGGGACACCAGCGTGCGGGACAGCACTCGTGCAGTGACGTCAACGGTTTCGGGCGTGTAAAACCACGCCGCGACGTTCCGCGCCCGCTTCTTCTTCTTCTCTCTCTCTTTCTCTCTTTCAGAAATGGGATTTGCGTCGCGGGGCGAAACGCGCGCCGAGGAGGAGAGCGCGCGTTTCTCGCCGCGTGGGAACGAAGACTTACGCGGCTATAGGAGTGCCGTGTAATGTCGCGAATGTTCGCAGCGCCCGAGCCTTCCACCGCTGCGCGTTGCCTCGGTCGTCCCGTACGCTCCCCGGCTGTTGGACGCTTGTCGCCGCGGAAACGCTCGCGGATCTCATTATCGTCGCCTGATCCTCGCATCATCGCTCGCAATAAAGGATCCTCGGGCGAGCGACGCGCCCGCCCGCCCGCGCCCGCGCCCGCGCGCGCGGTTCCGAGAGAAGTGGCCGAGCCAACTTGGGCCCCGTGGTCACGCTTCCTCTTACGAGCCACGAACGTAAGATTGTAAGATATAACTGGACCGGCGGTGGAAAACAGCGCGGGGGGCGGGGGCGGAAGGAGCGACACTGGGATACGCCATTTTGTTCGTACGGGAAACGCGCAAGATTTAATAATCACGAGCGACGTGCAACCGCCGTCGGAAGGAAAGCGGCTCCTAAACGGTGGGGGAGTTCTTTGTTGCTCCGCGAAGTTGTTCGAAAGAGGGAGAGGCGAGGGGGAAGGAGCGCCTTATCTCGCTCCTCTTCTCTCCCCCCCCTCTTTCTCTCTCTCTCTCTCTCTCTCTCTCTGGCGTGAAAAACTTGCGAAGCTCCAGCGCCGATCGCCGATTTATCTCGCCTCCGCGAACGTAACTCGGTCGTGCTCTTTGTAACGATCGCGCGGCTCGCCCGAGAGGGCCGGCGATGATAAACCTGCGCCTCTCGGCCCTCGCCCGGCGAGAAACGAATCGTCGATCGGCGTCGAGACGATGTCGAGTCGACGTCAGCTTGACGGCGTCGGCGACGAATCGTCTCTCGCTGGGCGGCGGATCCGCGGAGGCGATTCGCGACGAACGTTGGGCTCGCTCGCGGCGAACGAGGACCGAGAGGGCCCGGCGCGATAGCACACCCGCGCCCCTCGGCCCTCGGCGGATCCGCGGGGTGGCGGGGAGGGGGAGGGGGAGATTTATGACGATAGATTCATCGCAATTAATGATACGCGCCGCGGGTCTGTTGTAATGATAAAATATTCCCGAGCGAAACCGATGATTCATGCTCCGCCGATTTTCGAAAGTTCACGTTGCCGCGGGGTCTCTCGAGGATGGCAACTTTTCGAGGTCGAGGGTCTTCGGGACTCCTCCAGCGTAGGTATCGTCGCCCGATACGACCGATTGGGATCTCGTCACGGGCTCCGCTTATCTTATCGTTAATCCTGGCGCGATGTTGTTACAATATATCGCGACTTAATGACCACGTTCTCGCGGACATTCTCTTTTGACCGTTACCTTGAATGGGCTCGAGTGCGAGCGTGTATGAAAAAAAAAAGATGGCTCTATCAGGCCCCTCGGTAAGTTACAGAGTCACGGGACGGCACTCGCTGGTATGATAGGGGGAACCTGATATAGGACACCGAAGAGGAAGAAGAAGAGGAAGGCCGTATCTATTTAGGCGAAGCGGGAAAGACGTAATCAGGTGGAACCTGCTCGGCTGCGCCACGTGGTCGGCGTTGGCTTCCGAAACGCAGCGCGCCGTGTGTATTTACGCGCGGGCCCGTGCAGGCGACGAAGCTGGTTGTCGCGCGGAAGCCGCGATTCACGCACCTGAGAATATATTCATGGAGACACAACCGATATTTATAATCCAGATCGCTCCCTTTTGGGAAAGTTTCGCCAAATACTTTGCCGTTCACTCGCGATAATCGAGTTGCGTGCGTGTTAACGACGCCGTTCCACCTCTTGTTCGCTACACCCTACGCGAGTTGCGGTCCAATTATTTTTTCTATCTATGCTGCAAACCGCAATAATAAGCACGCGAGTAAAAGAGAACAATCGCATGTTGGAATCGCGTATACATAAAGATAGGCCGGGGAGAGGGGGAGAGAGGGGGGGGGGGGGAACACTAGACGTACATAAAAAAATAAGTGTTACTTTAACAGCGGTTTCAGCTCCATTCTCGTTATTTCGAGATTTCGGCTCTCGAAATTAATTGTAAAGGGAAACGTTGACAGTAAGAGGAAGCCGTAGATGCACTAATTGCAAGACAAAGAGAGTAACACTCGTGTGATCCCGAAAGTGTGGTTAGCTCCAATTTCGCGAAAAACAGAGTTGCGCCGCTATTTTAAAGTAACGCCGTCAAATATAGAAAGCGAGAGAACACCTCGCAAAGTACAGCAGAAAGTTATTTAGAAACAGAAAGCGCATTTCATTTGTCGGCCGCGTCGAAGGCCAAGACTTGCTTCGACGTCATTTTGTCAATTGAATAGATAATATAAATCTTTCCCATCGTTCTCCGAGGTACGAGGCCGATTTTCTTGTCTCTACTCTCAACTAAGTATCGATCAAGGTAAAATATTCACGCATCGCTGTGAAGAAAGACATGCTATTGATCTTTAACATTTTCGATGCCGCGTAGAGGGAGATTTTTCGTACAATTATTTATTCTGTTTTACACTTATTCAGTGATATCATCCTTCGTATTGATTTTTTTCATCTGCTAGCAGCTGCTTAATTAGCACTGACGGCTCGTTCCCGTTTTATCGTTGCTTTCCTTTCTGCCTATTCTTTGCAACAACTTAATAAACGAACCGAACGCCCGAGACCGCTCGGTGAATCTCCTTTTCCCTCTCGTCCCGTCGCACCGCGCATACGTTTTCGCCGTTCGTTACTTTCCCGTATTGCGCAATACGGTTGCATGCGAGCGGAACACGATACCAAGGTTTCGAAGGACGATGTTTCGGAGGAGCCGGGGCTGTCGAATACTAAATATTCATCGATAGTGCTCTTAATTTCATCTTTATTGAGTAAACGTGCGATAACGTAAACCGCGGTTCATAGTTCACAGGCTGCATGTATGCGGCAGCGATACACTCTCGAATCGGTGGACAAGTATCGTCGATAACTTATGAACTGTAAGCATATGTGCTACAAGTATACCTATAGTTCGCATGCTCGGTGTACTTAAATGCTTACAGATGTATATACTTAATAGATATATGTATAAGTAGAGTCTTTAGTCGTTTCGAGCTCAACTGGACGATGCCAGTCCAGCTGACAACTTGTATTTAAAGTACATTAGTGTTGGTCTACAACCTTGCTTTAAGTAAGCTGTAAGCCTTAAGCCGTAAGAAATTAACCAATCACAGGTGAGAGTGAGAGAAATCAATGCCTGTGATTGGTTAATTTCTTACGGCTTAAGGATTACAGTTTATTTAAAGCAAGGTGGTAAATCGACGCCTACTTTGATCATTTCAATCGAGATCTTTAGTTTCAAGAGATACTCTACAATCACGCTTGATATATTATTCAGTGCAGAAAGTAGAAAGACTCACGACACGCACGCACGCACGCACACGCAGCCATATTATCTTATAAGTTGGCACACTTATACTGTTCTTTGTTGTACAAGAATCAATGGCGAGGAAGAATGTTTCCAAGTTTTTGAGTTATGAGGAATGCGAATGTGATGCAAGTATGATGCTCTTATACTAGCGTATCGAATAAATACTATTTCTCACAGGATACATTCTTCGTTATAAGTCGTGTTATAATTAGAAGTATTGACAATGTATATATTAATTATTAATTTGTTTCGTCGTCCCTCGCAGTTTGTACAAACTGTTAAACCCACTCGTCGCGTACCGTGAAGAAACGTGTAAATGGTAAATTTAACAACGAATTAATCCACTTTCGACATAAATATTGTCTTACACGCGCTTTTGTAAAATTTAAAATAAAAACAGTAATAAGTTACAAAATATAAAATATATTAATCTTTTCAATAGAAAACAATAACGTTCAATGATGGACATCTAGTCATATTCAAATATTATCCGCAGCATTGTCGTTTATATATTGGACGTCCGAACGTTGCTCCGTCTTTTAACTCAAATTATGGAAAGTCGAAATGAATTATCAAAAAGGATTATGATTTTCCTCTGCGGTATCCCTGCCTCGTTTGCACTTTATCGTACTTTTTTCTTCGTATCCGTGTCCTCTTTTTCGTAGATATCATCCAGCGCGTTGGCTTCTAGCAAACAGTGAGAGAAGTCTCCTATCAGCGTTGACTTTCTTTGGTGTTTCAGGAAGTAACGGAGACCCTTCGCGATGCCGAAACCGACCATAGCTATAGACATCGTTAACGACGCCATCAGCAGAGGATGCTGCAGAATATGAAAGAATTACATCGTACTGTAGCAACGATAAAAGTAGCCTAATTACGATTGTCACCACTTTGACAAATTTTGTAGTATGAAGAACGAATCAATACCGTTAAGGTGGGCTTGTTTGTGAAAACGTAGTCGGCGATCACGACTGTGACTCCTAATATAATACCAACGCCAGCTCCGAGCCATGGGATCTGTTGGTCAGCTGTGAAACAGTATTTCATTACGTTCCGGTTTTCACAGTTCCGTGATAACTCTGTACCTAGTACCTCTTCTGTCTTTAATCAACGACCTTTTCGCTTTGTTCATCGCCTCTAGAATCTTGGGCTCGTTTGGTTGCAAGGACAGAGCCTTGTTATAAGAGTCGAGCGCCTCGCTGTAAGAGGATAGTTTCAGTTCGACCTCGCCCTTCCTAAAGTAACCCTGCGACAAATAAACACATCTTTATTCGTTGCTCTGAGAGCGAGACTTGAAGGAATTACGACACGGTCTTGGTTTCGAGTGATTCGTACAACGGTGTTGCCCTACGTACTTTCGACCAGTCAGGCTTCAGTCGAATGGTCATCAGAGCGTCGTTCAAGGCGTCGCGGTACCGCTCCATCATTAGGTAGGTGAAGGATCGGTTGCTGTAGAGAGAATAATTCTTTGGGTCCAGCTTGATCGCGTGCGAGTAATGGAGCGTCGCCTTCTGATATTTTTTCTCCCTAACGCACGCATTACCCTGCTGCTTAAGGTTCTCCACCTAAATAAAGAAAAATAGTTTATCCACTTATCTTGCAACACGTGTATAGATATATATGTGACGGCCCAAGGAGAAAAGTCACGATGAAGTCAACTTGATGTCATATTGACCAAACTATGACATAAGTGTAAGAGGCAAAGTACAACTGCTGATGGCAGAGATAGTTTAGGGACAAGCAAATATTGTAACGTGAACCTAGGGCGATGTTTAAATGATTGGTATTGGTGCGAGGACATGCGCGACACATAGAAAATACAAATGCGAGGTGATGACTGGCAAAAGGCACGAAAGGACGGGGAGTTCGTTACAGTGTTAACATTAAATTTTCATATGAATTTTCCTTGACAATTGAAGAGTTTGATTTATTTAAAGTTTACGCCCTAATTCAATTTACTTCTATAAACCTTACATAAGTTTGGTCAACATGGCATGAAATTAACGTCATCTGGACTTTTATTTCTCCAGTTTGATGTCATATTGATTAAATGTGACATAAGTTTGGTCAACATGACATGAAATTGACGTAATCTTGACTTCTCATTTCTCCTTGGGATAATACCTGCGTTTAGAGGTTAATGAAAGAAGACCGGCGTCTCTCGCCGTGCGACGTAACTGAACGGCATGGTGGAGGCGCGCGACTTTTCTCAAAATTATTATCTGGTTTATACAACGTTGATAAGCAACGATTGTGCAAAAGCTTCGATAAGGCTTACCTCTGCCTCCTGTGCGTTCATATTTTCATTCGCAGTGTCCCTCGTTTTCCAGAGAAGCGGGAGGAGCCTGATGAGCAACTCTCGGTGATCAGACGGTGGCGAGTCGATCGATTGTCCCCCGCCTTCGAGGGGGACTTCGTCCTCCCGGGGGCTCCGGATTTTTTCTGGATCGAACGTAATCGTAGAGGAGCAGACGAGCACCTGTTCGTGTCCACCGATCGGCGGGTGCATGCGCGAGGATCCACAAAATAAACATGTATGCGTCAATCCCGCGTCAATTGCGCACGCATTCCTGCGTCATGATGAAAGCCCTCCCGTCTAGCGAATAACGCACCCGATAAATGAAAATTCTGGGAATTTTAATTCTTGGAATTTTTGAGAAATTCTTGGAATTTTAGATAGTGCCACCTCTTTGCTGATCACGTTCTCCTGATACTTTGTTAGTTTTCGAGA